TGTGTCTTCGAAACTTATATGCAGAGTTGGAAGAAAATAGATGGAAGTAGACATTAATCAAGTCAAAGAAACTCCATTTTGTCGTCGAACAAATATTCGATCTCTGGCTTTTGTGATGAACATGGCAAAATCAACTATCTTTCGACGTATAAAATATGGCACTATTCAAACACATACTAATTCTATTAAGCCTCAATTGACCGAACAAAATAAAAAGGTACGTGTTCAATTTTGTCTTTCAATGCTTGATCAGAGTACAATTCACATAAATTCCAGATTTATGAATATGTTTAATTATGTTCACATCGACGAGAAATGATATTTTTGTCTAAAAGGAGTGAAAGGTACTACCTACTTCCTGAAGAACATGAGCTTGATCCATATCGCTCTTGTAAAAGCAAAAATTTTATTTCAAAAGTTATGTTTATGGCTGCTGTTGCACATCCTCGATTTGATGAAAATGTAATGGAGATATTTTCTGGAAAAATAGGTAGTTTTCCATTTGTAGTTAAGGAACAAGCTAAGCGGAACAACAAAAATCGAACAACAGGAACTCTCGAAACAAAACTCATTCTATCAGTGACTAAAGATATCACTAGACCTTGTTTGATTGAGAAAGTTCTCCCCTGCCATTAGATCAAAATGGACAGCTTCAAATTCAAATATTCTTATCTTTTTACAACAAGATAACGCAAGACCGCATATTGGTGTTAATGATTTAGAATTTATTGAAGCTTCCCAACAAGATGGATTCGACATTAGACTATGTTTTCAATCACCTAACAACCCTGATTTAAATGTGTTGGACCTTGAATTTTTTAGAGCAATCCAATCTTTTTAGTACCAAAAGGCTCATTCAAATGTTGATGAATTAGTGGAAGTAGTGGAAAGATATTTTGATGAATTGAAGGTTGAACAACTCAATCATGTATTTTTTAACTTTACAATATTGTATGATTGAGGTGATGTAAATAATGGAGGTAATAACTACAAAGTGCTTCATTTGAACAAAAATGGACTAGAAAGAGAAGACAATCTTCCTCTTCAACTTTGTTGTGATATTGATATTGTTTCAGGTTTCAGTTCTACTTCAACAATGTTATGGGTTACTATGATATGGGTTACTAGTATGACAAAATTTTCTTTTTTGAAATGTACTTTTTCTATTTGCAGGAACATAGAAAATTTAACAAATGAAAATTGGAATGGTGTTTTATAAGTATAGTAGGGATAGTACTAGTATTGTGTACATCCAAAGTGATCATCATATAATTTTTGTACTCCTTTAATATGTGAAAGTTGAAATGGTATTTTGCCAAGTATTTTTAGATTCAGATACCCAGCAAATGTACCTAAGAACCTAACTCCAAACAACTCTATAATTCGACGTAATGATCTTAGAAACTTCTCAATCTCCGCCCAATTCAAGAACGACATCAAATTCAAGAATACATATCAAGAACATCAAACTTTCAAACTCTTTTAGGACGAATTCACATTGAAATAACATGTTTGGCACGTGGGTGAACAAACCCAACGTTATGAAAGCCTCACATACCTTGTAGGATCAAATCCTTGATGAAATCCGCAATCAATTCCTTACGAAGACGACAAATCTTAATTTTCTTTTCTCTTCTCCCTTGCGTTCTTCTCTCTAGAACCCTAGCGTAAATTTCCAATGACCCTTAATTAATTCACTAAAAACGAATTAAAATAATAGGGTATGAAAAAGATCAAAACACCTTTTCAAATTCCGGATTGGACATTTCCTTATTTGAATGGCCCATCTTCCAAAGGGCATATCTCACTCATACGAACTAAGAATTGTGAAAACTTGGCGGCGTTGGAAAGATTATTCCAAGATATCTGGAAGCACACCTAACTCATCCTGATCTAGGAGTTATGGTTGTTTGAAGTTGATCAAAACTCAACTTAGCATACTTCACAGTTTTCCAGTTTTTTATATACTTTCCAAAAATGACTATTTCCAATTTTTAACATCTTTCGAGTTCTTTCTAGTTATGGGGTGTTAGACTCTACCTCTTTTGAGAGGCGTGAAAAAACTAACATAATATATTTACGTTGGACTAGTTATTATGGAACTGTTCCCACCCCTTTTTAATTTGTACTTATCTTTTTCTTTCAGAAAATAATTTTGGGTTGAATTGAATAAAATTGGATCGGTCCACATGAGAGACTCACGATCAAAAGCTTACATAGAAACTTTTCGGTGAATTAAACAAACATTTTTTTACTTAATGTATATTAACATAGCACTTTTTTCTTTGCATTTGATTTTTGAAGCCAGTATGACATTTTTCTTATAAACCAACTAAATTTGTCTATAATCTGAGAACGAGAATAACAATAGAACGTATAGCAAATTTGACGTCTTTCGCTTTATTTAGAGAAGATGAATTCATAAAATTAAAAATATTAGACTTCTACAATTGTGGGACAATAACTAAGCTTAATTACCTTATATTTACATATTTCAACATTTTTTGATATTTTATAAATCATCTTTGAAAGGTTTTGATTCTTTAAAGTTATGCAGAGGATCTAATATCACAGTGTTATAATTTCACCCTTAAAATAAGAAAGAAAATAGCAAGATCAATTGATTGAAGTTAAGTTGATATCACATTTTAAAATAATATTTATTTGACTTTTTATAAGAGTTTTTACTTATTAAGTATGAGCACGAGAATTGCCCGTGTAGCCAGAGTCTGTTTGGAATTTTTGGTAAAAATAGTTTATTTTTAGAAGCACTTTTTAAAGTGACTCTTTAGAAAAGTGCTTTAGAAAAAACAATTGTGTTTGGCTAATTCATTTGAAAATTGCTTTTCATAAGCAAATTGTGTTTGACTGTTTAAAAAAAAAATACTTTTATGAGTCAAACTACGAAAAAAGACAAGTATTAATGTACTTCTAATATTTAAATTATTTTATAGAGAGAATCTATTTAGAATGATAAAATAATTAATTAATTTTTTATAAATTAAAATTTACGTGTTTAAATTTTCAAGCAATATTTATCTTTTTTGGGAGGCTGAAATCTTTTATTCTTTTTTTCTTTTTTTTAATCTTGTAAAAATATTGTTGAAAATAATATGTAAAATAATATATAATATATAATGTATAAACGATAAAATAAATTATAAGATTTATTATATAATAATAAAAAATAAAATTCTTAAATGAAATTAACCAAACTTATAAAATATGATAATTAATTAATAAAAAAAATATATATTCGTAGATGTATATATGAAAAGGATATTTTAGTCTTGAAAAATAATCTGCTTTTTTTATAAAAAAAAGTAGCTTCAAAAACAGTTTTTGCTTCCATTTAAAAGCACTTTTACTGATTTGTCAAACACTTAATTTTTCAACAAAAATATTTTTTTTCTCAAAATAAGTGTTTATGGCCTCTCCTCTATTACACTTCTAAATGAGAGATATGTGTCCTATTCAATTTTCGAAGGTCAAGAATTATATCATATTAATAACAGTGGCGGACGCAGAATTGGTGTCAATGGTTGTAGTAAGAAAATAAAAAAATAATTATGAGGCAAATAGGGCTTGAACACACAAACCCTAAGGAATTTTTGCAACATCTTAACCACTAGACAAAACCTTCCACTTGTGTTCAAGTAGTGTCAATACTTATATATATATTTTTTAAACAAAAAATTGATACAATGTATTTTTCCGGCAAAGGCGTATCGCTTGACACCCCTCGGCCAAGGGTAAGTCCGCCCTTGATTAATAAGTATATAATTATAGTTAAGTCAATAAATTTCGATAAACTATTCTCCAAATTTAGTAAGAACAAGATATTCCACGTAAATTTTAATATCCATTAATATCATTATTTTCTTTATTCAAATATTAAACTATACTATATTTAAGATGAAAACCGACTAAATAATTTTTTATGCCTATAAACTTTATTCTCAATATATTATGTTGAGAAAGAAAAAGGAAGGTGAAAAATTATCAGTGTTGACAAAAATTATAAAGTAAAAGATGGGATAGAAAAAAAAAAATAATAAAAGTCGAGATGTTATCAAGTTTGCAAATGTGAAATATCAAAATTCTAAAAGTTTAGGAGAAAGTGTGGCTGTTGTGTTTGAAGAAGGAAAAAAAAAAGAAATATAGATGTCTTAAAAAATAATTTTTTTTGTCTTCTTCGTTTTTTTGTGAATTTTGAAAATATATTTAAAGCCAAAATATTTTCGAAGATTATTATTTATCACACTCAATAAAAATGTTAAATTCATATTCCACTTTTTGATATTTAAATATAAAAGTATAAGATATAATGATTATCAAATTTGTGGGGGAATTTTTTGTTCTTATCAAATTTTGGAGAATAATTTTCTAAAAAAGTTATTGACTTAACTATGATTATAATAGTTATTGATGTAATATAATATTAGCCTTTAAAAGTTAAATATGGCATATATCTCTCATTTAGAAGTGTACTTAGCTAGTGTTTGGTCATAGATTTCCAAATAATTTTAACAAATATTATTTGAGCTAAATTTCGATCACAGATTTCCAAGTAAAATTTAAGGAAAATTTGACAAATAGTGTATGTCCATAAAATTTGAAATACTAAAAAGAAATTAATATTTGAACCAAATCTCATTATTTGAAAACTTTTAATAATTCAAATTTTACACCAAATTTTTATCTTTTATAAAAACACCCTCTATAGTAATTATTTGCATTTTATACATAATTTTTTATGTGAATATCAAAATAGCGATGAAATATTCAATAAATATGAAAATTACCATATGATTGTTGAAAAAAATGAAGAACGATCAGCCTATGCTAACAAAGTCATGTTTTATGTAATAAAAACTTATAATTAATTTCGATAATTTTTACAGCTTATGAAGTCATTTGCTATGTAATAGCAATTTATGATTGATTTTAATAACTTTTAAAACTTATGAGTACAAATCATATTTCTTAAAATATGAACTATATTTCCAAATATAGTGACCAAACATGATGAAATTTCCCCCCAAATAACATTTGGGGAAAATATATGAAAATCTATGATCAAAACTAGCTTAGTATACTTGACGAAATAGAGGGAAGCCAAATAGGAGTACAGTTAGACAAAAGTTGAGAGGACGAGATTAGAAGAGGTCTAGCTTAGCTGATGGATCTACAGAGTGGCAATCACCTCAACCAAAATAACAAAAGATAACAGAGTATAGAGTAGGTAGGTGATCGATCACCGGATTCAGGTGGCGGCATTGAGTAGCTGAGTAAGGTGAACAAGATGGTGTGTAAGAGCCATAAGTGTGAGCACATTAAGAAAAGATGAATACGAGTTTAACTTCTTAAGCTTCTGGCTCAATTTCACCACTTGGGGCTTCACTACCTCTGCTGCGGACTGCTCTGGAGATTTTTCTGCTGGTTTAGTTGTTGTCGTCTTTGTTGGATCCAATACCGACTCCACTCCTCTAGTACTGCTTGGTTCGACGTTGAATATGTGTCTACCTCTACCTTCTTCCTTCTCCAACTTCAATCTCTCAAACATAACCTGTGCATTGGAATTTCCCATACCACATCATTAAAATGAACTAAAAACCCAACAACAGGATTCAATAGTTAAAAGTTACTAGCATTAGAACGCACAAATTTGCTGATAGTAATTTCAATGAAACAAAATCTATATATATATATATATATGCTACTTGTAGTTTTTTTAAATAATATCAATATTCTTGGATACAGCCGATTTGGAAGGAACAAGATTGAGATGGATTCTTATGCCTTTTCAAATCATTCTTTTAACGGTCCCAAACTCCCTCCCTCCCAACTCATGTGACTCTCCCATTGCAAATTTTGTGTGTTACTTGAGATTCAAACTACTCCCTCTTTCCAAATTTTGTGTCATACTTCTCATTTTATCGAGATACAATCTCTAGCTATTCCCCATTTCAAATTTTGGGTGCACACTTAACAAGATACAAAAAAAACTCTTTAAAGCTACATTGAATTAAATCCATTAAATATTTTGTTTTTAAACAAAATATTTAAAAACTATACCAAAATAATATAAGTTGCAACTATCAATATCACGAAAAAAATGGTCACATAATTTAAATCTCAAAAAAGTAGAAACTTCGGTATGTTGGGACAGAGGCAGAATGCTAAAATTTAAGTGACTTCTTAAAATGTATTTTGTCCCCATCTATACAACTTCGTTTTTTTCTTTGCCGACCCCAAAAAAAATAACACATTTTTATATGGAGCGACAATCAACTTTAGAGTACCAATGTTACGCTCAATGCAAATGACTTATTTTAGACCAAATATTTCAAAAGGCAATATTTCTTTCTTAAACATGATGTCAAGGTAACTAACTCACTCATGTGAAAATTGGGACGGAGTGAGTTTTTTTTTATGACACATTGCAAATTATGTAATCCAATTTAAATTCAAAATTATTCAATGGGAAAATGGAGTAATATCTTGTGTTCTACTTAGTATTTAAAAGGTCGGTTCCAACGTAGCCTCAGCTTGCTGCTTAAATAATTAGGTATGCTAAACACTTGTGGCATACATTCACCGACCCAAGTACTATTAAGTCTAGTTCAAAAGATACTAATCAAAGCAAAAACTTAAAAGAGATGAATAAGAGAAAGTGCCAATGAAATGGATTACCTTCGTTGCGCGAGGCTCCAAGTATAGCAAATTAACCAAAAGCATGGAGATTGAAGCTAGAAGATTAAAACCTTGAACCGCTTCACCCAAGTTAGCGTAAAACCAACGTTTTTGGCTTAAAAAATGACCGATGAACGCCGGGCCAACGCAATAAGCCATTGCTTTAAAGTAAACAGGGTAAATCTTACTTTGAACAACTGCAAATTGCTGCCTTGGCAATGCTCTAGCCAACACATAACTCGAAACAAATGTAACCCAAATGCACATCCCATAAGCCACAGCAAACCCCAACAAATGCATCAAACGCATCACATGACGCAAATTCCCTAAGGAGAATATATAAGTAAATACATCACGTCCTCGCACGATAATATCTTTCAAATCCTTTTTCCCTTCTTCTGCTTTCTCAGATATTTCTCCTTTTACTTGCTCCACCTTTTGTTCCACTTCATCCTTTTTACTCTTCGTTTTATCAACTACATCCTTCGCTTTTTCTTTAACTTTCTCTGAAGCTTCGGTAACACCTTCTTCAACCTTATCTTTGGTTTTACCAAAAACAGTAGTAATTTTCTCTTTACACTTACCAAATGCATCACAAACAACATCTTTAGCACTATTTTGTTGATGTTGATTCACATAAGGACTGGAAATCCCTTGACCTATATTTGGAAGAACAGAGGTTGCTTCCTCTGCTTTTTCATATAATTTATCTTTCAAATCAGAAACATAACTTGATTTTGAATTCTGATTTGGAATTTGAGCTTGTTGTGGGGAGATTAAAACTTTGGTACCTTCATTTTGATCAAATTCAACAACTAAAACAACATCTTCTTTTTTATTGGGAGTGAGAAATCCAGCTGTAACCAGTGTGGATAATACAAGAGAAATAGCCAAAACATTCATCATCCTTTATTATTTATGTGCAAGGAAAGACAAAAAAAAAACAAGTGTTTTGTTGTATAAGGAATGGAAGATAGTGAGATGAAATAGGAGGAATTGGTTGATTTTTTTAAGGCAAGTTTGAATGTTTCACACGTCAGGGTGTTAAGCTGGATGAAAAATGTATACGTGTTGGGTCGCATGCGGTTTTCGAATCTACGTGTCTGTTTCTAAATTCACCTCTAAAAAGTAAAAGTATATCAGATGAGGCTCTAACACATTTATCTGCCCAATTTAGCTTTTTAACTAAGTATTTTGGAGTTGTCATTAATTCCTCCGTTTTACAAAGAATGATCTAGTTTAACTTGACATAAAATTTAAGAAAATAAAAATAAAAATTAAATCTTGTGGTTCTAAATTAAAGTTATGTCAAATGTATAAAATTGTCTTTTAATCTTGTGGTCTTAAACATGTCACGTGAAAGTTGAACTTAAAATTTTACCAAAAAAAAAGAGATCATTTTTTAAAAAATAGATTAAAAAGAAAAGGAGTTCATTCTTTTTGATTCGGGGAGTATTAGATAAGTATTTTGAAAGTTGTTTGTGACTGAAGTAAATTATTATTTAAACTAATTTATTAGAATAGTAATAACTTTTAAAAATAATAATTAGAATGACCATATTTACATTAACGTATAAAATATTTGTTTATTTATAAAATTCAACAAGCAAAACTGATAAGCGATCAGATTTAACGAATCATAAAACAAATATGTCATTAGGGGATACAAAACGTCTTTAAAGTTGTCGAAGTTGTGTAATCATATCTAAAACTAATTTTAAATAAGCAAATTTATACTACTTAATTAGTCATCATAGCTATAATTTGTTATAATTATCACTTGCGATTAATATTAACCATTAATTACGTGGGCTGACTTTGAGTTTGTATAATTAGTCACGTTTGTACAATTCATCATATTTGTATAATTCACAACTAACAATTCTTCGTTTGATTTGTATTTGTAAATGACGATGATTTCCTTTGGTTTTTTAGTTTTATCACTATATACATTCAATCTTTTTTGTATAGCTTTTTAAAGTTTATATAAACGTGTAGTTTTTGAATTTTGTATTATATAATTTATATAAATATAATTTGTATAACGGCTTAAAGTTCATATGTTTATGTTTGTATCAATTCGCTATTTCGAGTTTTATAATATTTGTATAATTTCAAACTTTATATTATTCAATTATACAAAAACACGCGAATTATACAAACGCACCTCTGAATTATACAAACGAGATGCAAATTATACAAATTATTGTCCTCTCTCGCTCGTCTCTCTCCTCCCTCTCCCAATCTCGCTCGCCTGATATACAAATACATATATATACTAGTTACATATATACAATTACCTAACCGATATACATATGCAATTCACCTCTCTTCATCCTCTGTCCTCTCTCGATCGCTTCTCTCCTCCCTCTTCCAATCTCGCTCGTCATTCTCTTTCCTATAACATGTAGCTACAAATCGTAATTAGCAAACAATAGCTAGACGTAATTAAGTTATTTTTGAGTGGCTATATGCGAAAGTTCACCTGAGATGATTCTATTAAAGAAAATGATGGTAGTTAAGTGAAATTGAAGTAAAAAAAAAATTTAAAAATATATGGGGATTCGATCTACCATGTTCTACATACTTCTGCATGCTTGCTCACTTCAAACGCGCAAATTTGAACTTGGGCGTCATGTAAGTTTTGTGTACTGCTTTATTATTGCGTTGGTGTCCAAAATATTATATATATTAATATAAAATAAAATTTAATCTATATATAATGTAATTTTTTGATAAAGAAACCTGATATCACCGTAACTCGCTCCAGAGTCTAAGCATCAGGAAGAAGTGCAGAGATTTTTTTCCCCCATTTTTTGGTTTAGTTTTCCTCAAAAAAGAATCACAAGTAGTTCTCCATCTTTTAAATCACAATGAAAATAATAAAGATTTTATTTGTAGTAGGTTCTATTTAAAATTTGTGTACAACCTCCCATTTGTAAAATCACATTAGGTATGTTATTGTTGTTCCAAGTATTCTTTGTTATCAATTTCCTTAGTGAATCATACATGAACAAACTTGCACCTAAGAAGAAGAAATTAAAGTATCCTTTTAATCGCGATTAAATGATAGAAATACATGTATTCTGGAGAGAGAGTGGCAATCTTTTCAAACAAGACTCCAGTTGCCCGGGGTGAATATTTTGTTATTGGATTCATCATAAATTGACTAGTTTCTAACACCGAGCTTAGATTGACAATGTGAGCAAATTCGCATAGCTATGATCTAATGTTCAATCTGAAATAGCAAAGTATCAACACAACCATTTGTACAAACAACACTGAATTTCACAACACGAAAACGTGGAAGGAATAAACATTTCTAAAGTAATGTCACTTGATAAAAAAAATGATTCTCAACATATTCCAAAATACAATGCAGATTATGGCCTTTGAAGTAACAAAAACAAATGTATAAGTAATATATGTATGCACTACAAAAGTTGCACAATATTCCACTGTTTTCTCCCATACAACTTTACTAAACATTTCCACCCATTCTAAACCAGAAAATTGGAAATAACTAATTTTCTTCCTTCCATCTCTTCTAAAAATAATAATCTTCATTCACATTAGGTGATCCGATTGCTGTGGTATTATCTGGAAATCCACAAGTGACAGGTAGAAACGGATCATGCAAAACTGTGGTGCATCGTTTCATATGCTTCGTTTAAGCACTTAATCACACTTGATATTTCTGTAAATCCTCCTAACAAACAAATTAGAGCCAAGATATCCTACAGCACCTGGAGTTCCAAAGAAATCAAGAAAGAATAAGTTAAGTCAGATCTTAAGTCCACGATAGGGATGGCGTTTTGAGGGGAAGGAAAATAAAGGCACTCGCCAAATCCTGTATTTGACTTATATAGCTTACCACAGAGGATGCCAAGGCCAAGGCAGAACATCATAGTGTAGCCAAAGTAAAAGCTGGTCTGGAAGAAACCGGACATCTTAGTCTTTACGTGATAGTAATATATGGCGTAAAGATAAACATAAAGAGCTGTTGAGGCAGCAGAAAAGAATGAAGTCCACCGCCAATGGTAGTTCTCGGCATTCAACAAGAAATACGTGCCCACAATTGTCACACAAACGGTGACAATGATGAGAATAATAAATACAAGAAGCATAAAACCATAGACATAGTAGACCTGCCAACAACAAAATAAAGGTCAGCCAAAGTACAAATGTAAAATACATTGTTTTCGGGAAAAACTTTGCAGCAACATATAAGAAAAGCAATAGGTGAACACTACAGAATCTCCAGTGTGCATATTAAATGCTGTGAGATTGTTGCTAGACAATGTCGTGATTCCTACTTTGAAGAAGTCATTGCAAGTTGTCCTTTATGTGTTTAAATAATGTGTTCAATAATTTATAGAGAAAGAAAGGAAGGAACTATACCAAAAAACGTAAGCAGGCAAACATTTCAGAATCTCAAGCTACTAGAAAACGATCACAAGAATCTATTGGCAAATGGCATTGACAATTATACAAGTTTGTCTCTATTGCACTATACGTCATTATAAAGTTAGCTCACAAGACAAAATATGGTTTCAAACTTAAGCATGGGCAATTAGAACGGTTCAATATCCATATCAGAAGTAGCGTCTAATAGGAACACATCGGACAGTCCCGTGACATGCTGTCATGCCCAAAACAATGTTGACATCTAGGTTACCTTTTTTTATTTTTGACCAATAGAAAATTATCTCACATTTTATTCGTAGGTCATAAGCTTGCTCTCACTCCTCAAACTTGTACATCTAAAAGAAGTCCAATTTCTCTTTAGCACATAAGGTCAATCCGGTATTTCGAAACTTTTCCAGATGAATATCAAGATCTGACAAAAGCGTCAAACTAGAAAACTAATTGTGATGTTAAATAGACTTTTGTGTCTATCAATGTTAGTTATGTGTTTCCATGTTGTGTCCTCTTGCATTCTGAACAATGTCACATACGCATATTCTGCATGTTAGAAACTCGTGTTGGAACCAAAGCAGCTTCACTTTCAACTCACTGATAGCAAGCAAATTAAAGACAGGTGCTTATACTTCTCTGAACAAAATGAAATAAGTAAATGATGATGCTGAAAGATTCTAATAAGGATGAAATCCTCCAGATTGATCAAGATGAAGCGAAATTAGCCTTACAGCTTTTTGGTAGTCAAATAGTTCTTAGAAACTATATATACATGGCACATAAAAATCACAGTGAAGTATATAATCTATTTAGTTCACACAAAAACAGTTCTTAGGCAATAAAAATCCTTTGTATTCAACTAATTCAATGCTCAGATAGTGGAAAACTGACCAGTAAAGCAAATATTCATATAGAACGATGCTGAAAAGATTGTCAAGTGAAATGGTGCAAGGAAAAATATCTTTTTAAAATGCTATTTCCATTAAGCGAAAAAAAAGGGAGAGAATAATTACCTTGTAGTTCCAGAAGGAAGTGAAGACAAAATACATCTCAATGAAAATGCTCCCAAAGGGAAGAAGACCTCCCATTAGAGAAATTACAGATGGTGTGAGGTACCATTTCTTCTCAGGGATAGGGCGGGGTATGGTCTTAACACGGCAAGGATTGTTTGGCGTACCACTCCAGTTTCTTCCTACAACAGTACCAAGAAGTGCCAGAGGGAATGAAATAAAAGCCCAAATAACCAAAACCACCACCATTGTGCCAAAGGGAATAGCAGCTAAAGATCCATAAAATATAGCAATCGTATTTAGAATGAACCCAATGCCAAAGCACATAAAGGGGAAAAGTGATGCCGTTAGTATCATTGACTTTATCCACTTTTTACCTGACAAGATTCACAAAAGAAATAACTTTAATCACTTGATGATTAGAGGGAATCAATAGAAACAACTGAAGGACGTCAACCACAGAAGGATCACATACCACCATTACGAGAGTACAGGCCACCACTCACATATCCGGCAATGAACGATGTAAGAGCATAACATACAATAAAGGTTGTAGTAATAGCTCCTCTCC